TCGGTTTCGGCGTTCGTCTTTCGGGCTTTCCGACGCTCACGAGCCGCAGTCGGGCGACTGTCGTGCGCTGAGCCGAAGCGCAGTGCCAAGATCCTCTGCTGCCTTGGCCCTGGCTGGAGCTTCGGGAAACTGCAGTCAGTGACGAGACGAAGAGGCGGAGAATGGCAGAGCCAAAGAGGAGAATAGAGGGGTGACAGGAAGAGGAGGTAGAACCGAACAATGCATTGACGACGACGACGGCGACAGAGACAGAGACAGAGACGCCAGCAGAGATCGGACGTTTCTGTTGCTGCCGCTGCTGCCTTTTTGCAGGGCGGCTACTGTGCTCCGCTTTCGTCGCTCTGCTCTGCTCTCCCCGCACTCCTTTCCGCGACCGCTACTGCCTTGAGTGACTTCCTGCAGCTCGGGTTATGTCTTTGCGTCTGTGTGTGTGTCCCTCTGTATCTTTGTATGCAGATGCACCGAAAATTTGCACAGAACGTGGGAAGGGGAGCAGAAAGGGGCTCTAGGCCACGACGATTCTTCATCAAAGTGCTAATGACTGAGAGGGAGAGAGAGAGGCAGAGATGCAGAGTGGCAGAGATGCAGAATGGCAGGAGAGCGAGCGGGAGAGGGAGCTATCCAAAAACTTGAAGCCCAAGTTAAGATAAGAGAGAGCGAGAAAGAGAGAACGAAAGAGTGGACAAAGGCAGCTGCTGCATCTCTCTCTTACTCTCAAAACTGCAGTAGACTAAAATGTCCTTCATGTGAATAAGAGGGAGACCCCGATTTCGATTCGATAATTTCAATGTGTGTATCCGTATCTACAAGATGTAACTGCGAGATTTCTAAAGATCTGGAGATGTACGGATGGATAGATCCTGAGATGTTGTGAAACGAGGATGAGTCCTATTCGGGGGGTGCCTTCTGTGTGTGGGGTGGGGTTTGCGGTTGCAGTTGCAGTTGCAGTTGCGCCTTACATACCTTGCGGCTGCATTCGGCCTTTGTCAGTGTTTGCACACAGTCCACGCACATTGCGGCGCGAGCATGCGAGGAGGAGTCTCTAATTGTTCACTGATTCACTTCCTGTATCTGTATCTGTATCCTTTATCCTGTATCCTTTATCCTTATTGGCCTCTGCTCTGCTCCTTCTTCTGCAAATCGCGCGCGAATCGCGCAAAGATCTTTCCGATCTTTCGTGGATCGGATCTTTTGCCCCTTTTTTCGCGGCTGCACTTGTCAAAAAAAGTTAAAAAAAAAAACAAGAACAGAGTCCTTTTCCACGAGAGTGCGTGTGTGCGTACAGCAGTGTACGAATTTGAAAATGCAATTGGAAAATGTTGCAACAAATTTGAAACGGTATTTGAAAATTGGAATATTGCGATTATATTTGGAATATATGTATATATTTCTTTTTGTGCGTTTGGTTGGAACTAACTTTAGTAACTGAACGAACCGATCGGAATCGAAAAGCTCAACTGAGGTTCCCCCGAAAAAATGCAATATTGAATGTGTGTGGTAGAGTGGAGTGTGTGTCGCTGCTGCTGCTGCCACACTCTCACACACAGACACACACAGGCCTACGTGTGCGTGTGTGTGTCTGCCCAATTGAATCAGAGAATATATCTCCCCGCTGCCCTGCCCCTGCCCTGCCCTGCCCCTTCTCTCTTTCCCTTTCATATATACATTATGTTTTCGCTTTTCGCTCGCCTTTTTTTATATTTTTTGCTCGCTTTTTTGTTATATACTTCTCATCGTTGTTCGTCGTCGTCGTCTGCCGTTCGTCGTCGTCGTCGTTCGCTTTTGTTGTTGTTGTCGTTGTCGTTGTCGTTGTTGTTGTCGTTGGCTTCTTTCAGTTTTTTGGAGTGCAGCGACGCTGACTGCGCTGCTTTGATCGCGCGCTGCATTTTTACACAGTGACAGCAGCAGCAGCAGCGCAGTCGCCAAAATAAACGAAGAACGTAGCGGCGGGACAGCGGGACAGCAGCAGCAGCAGCAGCGGCAGCGGCCGAGGCAGTATGCGTGTGTGCTTGTTTCTGCCTGTGTATTGGTGCTGCTTTTAGAAGTTTTGTTTATTCAAAGGCCAGGCGGACAGGCCACAACCAATTTTTGGGGGAAAATTGTAAAGACAAAAGTGTCGCAGTCGCGAGAGCGACAGAGGGAGAGGGAGAGGGAGAGGGAAAACGCAACACAACGCGCTGCTGCTGCGAGTGTTTGCTCTGCGAGAGCGCGGGACTGGAGATCGCTGCTGCAGCAGCAGCAGCAGCAACAAAAAGCCCTCTGCAAATAGACGGGAACACATTGCAACTTTCGCTGTGTGTGTGTGTGTGTGTGTGTGTGTGTGTGTGTGGCCAGCCCTGCCCTGCACGCATACTGTCGCACCGATCTGCGGATCTCTGGCCCTCCCGCCCCTTGCGATGGGCTGTGGTTGGGGGCCACCAATTGAAAGTATAGCCCACATTTCACATACAAAAAACAAAAACAGCAGAAGAAACCCCAATCCCAATTCCAAAGCCTCAGCCACAGCCCCCAATCTCCAACTCCCAGACCCAAAAAAAAACACAACTCTTTTTTTTTTTTAGGCAATTTTCAATGTGGAAGACGGCGGCCTGGTTTTTTGCATTTTTTTTAGGGCCCCTACCGTTACACACCCTCTGCCGTTCTCTTCCCTTCCCCTCTTGCCTTAGTAGGAGGCCGTTCTGCTGCTGCACTCGATGACTGCGACTGCGACGCAGACTTGTTTAATATTTTGGTTACCGCATTTTATTACACGACGACGACGACGACGACGAACGGGCTCTCCCTTCCCTCTGGCGGCACTAACCCAGTTTCCCTCTCCCTCTCCCTCTCGCTCTTACTCTCTCGCGATCTCTTGGGATCGGATGGAATCGGGCTGCCTGCCCTCCGCATTGCCCTTCGCTCTCTTTTGCATCTTCTTGCACGCACAAACAAAACCAAAAGATTGCCAAATCGGCCCCGGCCCTGAAGGACACAGTAGGTGGCGGGACAGCGGGACTGCGGGACCGTGGAAGAGCTCAACAGTGTGAAACAGCGGTCAGCGGACAGCCTGGAACAGCGGGAACGGGACAGCGGTGAAGTCGGAGGGAACGGCAGCGGGAACGGAAGAAAACTTGTTGCCACTTGCCGCATCTCTTGTTTGCCCATATATTTTTTTGGGCTCATTGTTGTCGCTGCGTTTTTTAGTTTGCTGCATCCATCCCCCCAGCCGCCCCTTGGAGAAGCCCCCTTGAGGGGGGGGCACTATGTCTTATGCCTCTTTTATGCGTGGCGTATCGGTTTTTCTGCTTGTCGCGCACTTGTGCTGCTTGCATTTTTCAAGAATTGTTTTTAATGTTTTCTGTAATTTTTTTGTTTGCACTTTTTTAAAGGTTTTTTTGGGCTTTTTTTTCATTGGTTACGGCCTGTCTCGGTGCACCCATCTCCACCCATCGTCTGCAGTGAACGAACGGGTCTCGTATTGGCGACCTTTAACCGATTTATAAATGAAACCGCACATGAGAATCGTATCTTCAGCTGCAGAGCGCTGTCGCCCATTCAGTTTTCTTTCTGGGTCTGGCAGTTGGATGACTCTTTCAAGATCATCCACGAAAGTCACGAATGGAAGCCACGTTTCACCGTCTTCTAAGCGGCGTTTGTGGATGAGCAGCGTTTGCCTTGCAAACAAAATAACAACCTGCCATTAACCCCTAGGTGCGGGGAAGAGCAGGAGGAGGAGACCTCGACAACAACCTTAAAGCAGAGGCACAGGCAGCGGCAGCAGAAAAGGCAGCGACAGCGACAGCGACGGCGACAGCGAATGATCGCATTGAACTTGTCGCTGCCCGAAAGCGTCGCTGTTCGTTCTAATTGGAGCTGCATTGGCGGTGGGGCATTAGTCAGATACTCGCACATTTGTTATCTCTCTCTCTCCCTCTCTGTCTGTCTCTCGCACTCATACGCTTTCTGTGAAGGCCTAATATCGTATGCGTGCATTGCCCGCAACGCCTCAAGGCAGCGATCAGACAGCAGCGGCAGACGGCAGCACGAGCGCAGGCGATCAGGCGTCGTCGACGTATACGTAATATTCCGAGGAGGTCAACGACGGGCAACCCACGACAATGGCAGTGAAAGAGGCAGCAACAACGCGTTAGAGATCGCCCCCTCTCTAGACAGCGCGGAATTGTGTTTACAAGAAAAAGCTTTGGGGAGCGTGCAGGGCGGTTCAACGACCGCCCTGGCGTGAGGAATCAACGAATGCGAATTACCGATCTACCCGGGAATGCGAGAGATTTACCGAGAAAAAAGATTCGGGAGACATTTCTGGATGAACTTGGATTGGCGACCGTTTCAGAATTACCAAAACCGTTCTTGAGGGGCTTTCTTGAACCGTTTCTGAGGGGCTTTCTTGAACCGTTTCCCGAAGCGTCGAGGAAACTCCAAAGCTAAAAAGATAAACTCTTTGGTGGAAGAATCTTTTGGAAGAATCTACTGGCAGAAGATGTTTACAGATACAAAGAAAAATAATCTATAGTATCCATCTATGGGTTCCAAGTAAACGGGGGAAATGTTTAATGGGAAAACATTCCAGAAGACCAGATGGAAACCGCTAACATGATTGTAGATGGCAGGAAGCGAATTTCAAGAATAATCTTAGCAAGGGAAGCGGATGCAAAAGACTCCATTTTGTTTGCAGAAATTCAGCAAAGAAGGCAATGATGATTTCGGTTCCTTGTGGGCCGGATAGACACGGATCTATTGACAAATTCGACTTCAAATTGAAATTAATCCTGAAAGCAAGAATCAATCAAATCGAGAAGAATTTCCAATTGGAAACGAATCTTAGATGCCTCTTCCGACAAAGGATCCGTGTAGGAATGCCTACACTTACTTGTCTTTTGCCGACGATGCTCGAGAAGGATCTGTCTAAGCGATGCTCTAGCCCCAAAAAGAAAACTCGAATGAATAATGGTCTGAGTCCAGGAATGAGGACTCTGATGTAGGGACTGATGGAAATCACTTACGTTCTTGTGTGTGGGGCAGCTGGACACCTGCATCTGCGTCTCCACTTGCACTTGCATCTGCAACTGCATCTCCCGGTCGGGGCTACCGGCTTGGGCTCCGGCTTGCGGGCTTCGACTCCTCTCGCGACTCCTGGCTGCCGCTGCACTTTCACTTTCACTTGTCTTCTTGGCTGTTTCTGTGTTTTCTGTTGTTTCTGAGTTTCTGTTGCAAGTTGCTCGCTTTTCGTATTGGCTTTCGATTGTGTTTTGGTTTCTGTTTTGTTCGGTTTTCAGTTTCGAATCACGGGATTCTTTCGGTTGCACTTTCTCTGCTGCTTTGCACTTTTTCAATCTTTTTTGATCACTGATTGGCTCAGGGTTTCGGGGTTTCTAATTCTTAGACTTAGCTTTGAGATTTTCCAGCATTTGTTGTGGATATTGCACAGTATTTCCTTTTGAGCACTTTGGCTTTCGGTTCTCTCTCTTTTGGTTCTCTCGCCTTCACGCAAACAAAAAATATGAAAACAATCAACAATCAATCAATCAATCAATCAATCTCTCGTTTCTCTCTATCTGTCTGTCTGTATCTTCTCGTTGCTTTGTTGCTTTTGTATCTTTGTAACAGTCTCAGCGGATTGGCACTTGAAAAAAAATTGAACGCGAACAGAACACTAGAATGCTACGGATCTAGGGGTCTAGGGATCTGTCTCTGGGGGATCTATGGCTCTGGGATCCTAGCTGGGCTCCAGGCTTTTGGCTTTTGGCTTTTGGCTTTTGGCTCGTGGCTCTGAATCTCTATGTTTATATTTATAGACTTCCAGTTGGAGTTTTGAGGTTTTTGAGCTGAAGTTGGGGTTTATTTGGGGGACCTTTGACTTTTGTTGGTTTTGGTCTCTGATGTGGGTTGTGTTTATTATTTTTTCAGGGATGTTCCAGTCCGCGTCGCAGCACGCGCACGTAACGAGCAACAAACAGCAACTAACGTTATTTCTGGAGCCCAAACGCTGTGGAAGCGGCAAAATCCGCACAAGTCGCAATCGGTGGCAGCAGCAGCGCCGGCTGCGGCAGCAGCAGGACCAGAACCCGAAGCCCAAAAGCCGAAGGCACGACGACGAAGTGCCTGCCGCCGGCACGAAGGATGGACGACGAGGACGAGGACGACGACGACGATGACGATGACGCTGGCTGGAGCTTTGTTTTGGTGGTGGAGAAAGCAGGAGGAAGGAGCCTGAGACGGGGGGGCAGAGGAAGGGCGGGAGCCAGTGGCTGGATGCTGGGATGCTGCGCGTAAAGACACGCGACAATGAAATAGAAAATTTAGCACACAATTGAAGTCATTTTACACAAACACACACACAGAGATACCACTAGCTCACACAGAGCCAGATACAGACACAGATACAGATAGACTGTGGCACACACAGGTACACGTAAAGTTGCCGAGCGGAGGGGGGCGGGGTGGGTCTGGGGAGGGCTACTACTTCTGCGGGGCCTTCCGTTTTGCGCCAAAAGCTATGCTATGTGCCACACGCTGCCGCTTGCTGCTGCTGCACTCTCGCGTCGTTCACTGCCGTCTGGCTACTGCACCGGCCAGGCGGCGGCAGGCAGCAGGCAGCCCGATGCCGGTCAGCCCGCTGCCGCCGCCGCCGCCACCGCCGCCGCTACCCCTCTGCCCACCCACTTGTTTCCGACGCACATAAAAATCACCCGCCAAACGGCGTACTAAACACTCATTACTCATTTCGGCCGCCCAACCATCCGCCACCCGGCACCCCTTCCGCCCATCAGCCACATCACTGCCAGCGCTTCAGCGTCCGCCCACCTCCCCACACACACACAAACACCACCAGGGAGAGAGAGAGAGAGAGAGAGAGAGAGACAAAGACAAAGACAGGGACAGAGAAAGAGTGAGAGAGCGAGCGAGAGAAAGGAGAGATTTTTGCTCATTTTTTCTGCGTACGGGCGTTCGAAAAAAAGGATGCGACGCTGCGAAGCCAGCTGCGACGCCAACGCAGCAGCAGGAGCAGGGGGGGAGGAGGAAAATCAGAAACAAAACAAAAAGAAGGAAAAACGAAAAAGCGAAAAATAATAAAACCAAAAGCGGTGGCAGCGCAGCAGCAGCATCAGTGGCAGCACAAAAAAAAAAAACAAAAAAAGACCGAAGCGAAAAAACAGGAGGCGGAATGCGTGTGTGTCTGTGTGTGTGTGTGTGTGTGTGTGTGTGTGTGTGTGTGTGTGTGTGTGTGTGTGTGTGTGTGTGTCGGCGTAGGAAAAAATCCCGTAACCAACCCCACTGCATGCTGCGGCCTCTGCTGCTACTGATGCGGCGCTGCACACACACATACACAGACGTACACACAGACAAACAACCCCCATAGTGGGAAGGAAATTTTAAAAATCGCGACGAGAAGCAGCGGAAAAGAGCGCGAAACAAAAAATGATATGAAAAAAAAACACAAAATTTGTAAAAGCACGAAAATAAAAAGAACACACACACACACGTGCAATAGAGGAGCAGCAGTAGAGCAGCGACGGCAGAGGCAGTGGCAGTGGCAGAGCAGCAGCGTCGCGGCGTGCCAAGGAAAAAGGGGAAATCGACGCACAAAAATAACCAAGCGAATATAAAGGATATCGTACGTGTGTGTGTTGGTGTGCGTGTGTGTGTGGGAGGAGAGAGCAGTTTTTAAAATTTTAATTTGTTGTCTTTTTGGCTCCATCTCTGTCTTTCTCTCTCTCTCTCTTCTCTTAGTACAGTGTTGAGGCTCCCCAAAAAGTAGGCAACATTTGTAGACTGATGCAGATCCATAAGGGAGATGCTTAGCGTTGAAGATCCTTAGCGAAGGCTTCATCGATACAAGAAGAAACGATAGGCAGCAACAGGAACGACAGAGACCAGGATATACGACGAAACAGGACTGCGGATAACAGAGAATAACAGAAAGAACCACGTACAGAATGACGGGGAACGGCGTTGAGGCAGCCACGACGTCTTAACGGCTACTAAACTGGCCAAGACGCTAGAGCGATGTCCTGGACAGCAGCAGCAGCAGCAACAGTGGCAGCAACAGCAACAGCAGACTCCGAACCAGCAGAAGCAATGGGGAGCCGGCAAAAGTCGCCGTGGCCTTCATTGTCACGAGGCCGAAAGACGACGACAACGACAACAACGCAGCAAACAGCGCTGCCAGCGTCTCAGTCGCTGCTATCGCAGGAGGTCAAAGTTTTGGGGGAGCAATCGAAAGAAGACGCCTTCGGCCCCCACTATACGCAGCCCATCCTGTTGCTTAGGCCATAGTTTTGATTGAAGCAAACAGCGACTAAACCCACTCGCAGCCAGCCCCTCACCCACTCCTTCTACCCTGCATCGTACGCCCCTAACAGCCCCCTAACATCCCCCCATAGATCCCACAGTAAACACTCGGAACTATGCGCATAGCAAATGAGCGTAATAAAATCAAATGCTGATAGTGCCTGTAGTTGGACGCATTACCCCCGAAAATCAAGATGCCGCCCCCCCAAAAGCACCCACACACAGATGCTCCAACACAGGACGCCCACACACACGCACAGACACAGACACAGACGCCGACAGACCGAGTCGAAGGAGCCCCGAATCCGAGAGCCCAGAACACTGAGAGCCCGAGAGCAAATCTACTACACGCAATCTTCATTTTCAACGCCATTCAAAGCCATTCCAATCATCATTATCGTCGCCATAATCATCAAGTAAAGTACCCACCAGTAGCGCCTCGACGCAGCGCCACCCCCTGGCCACCCCACAACCCCCCTTTCATCCGCCTTCGAAAAGATTCTCTTAGCAAAAGACGAGACGAGACGGCCACAGCGAGAGATGCCAACAAGTGCGCCCCGAAGTATTTTTTTCTTCTATTTTTTTTTGTTGGTTGCTTTTGCTGCTGCTTTCTTTTTCTTTCGTTTGGGAGCGAAAGCTGGGAAAGAGAGCGAGATTACAGCGGTGAGTGTGTGTGTGTGGGGGCCGAGAGAGAGCTCCATAGAATAGGCGGGTGGGGCAGAAGGGGAAGGGGAAGCAGTAGGCGGCAGAAGGCGGTAGACTGTGTGGATGAGGATGTGAATGTTGACGTCTTCGTTGTGTAGTTTCGCGTAGTTCATTGAAGGAAGAAGGCTGATGGAGTGGAGTGGTGTGGTGTAAAATAGAGGGAGGATTAGAGGAGGTGAATGGCAGAGGAGAGGGTGGTGCCAGAGGGCTGGAGGGTACGAGGGTAGGGGAGTTAGGCAACCGGCAAATGCGACAAATTATTTAAGCTGCATGTGGCGCTCAAGGAGATTTCTTCTGACGCTGCTCCCTCTGCTCCCCCTTCTTCTCCTGCTGCTGCTGCTCCCTCTGTTGCTGTTGCATTACTTCCGAATCTTAGACAGATTTCTCGCGCATCGGTATGCAGACAGATACAAAAATACAGATGCAATATTCGTAGATTCGAGTCGATGGCTGGCTGCTCTTCGTTGCATATAATTTAGATACACCCAAACACACTCACACACACACACACACACTCAAAAGGAAAAGGAAGGGGGGAGCACGGTAGGTTCCTGATTTCGTGCCGCCCACTTTCCCGCCCAGTACGAAAAAGTTTCCGTATATTTTCTTAGACTTTGCTTTAAATTACATACAGACACACGCATACAGATAGGCCACACGCACACTTGCAGAGACACACACACACACACACACACACACAGATACACAGTCTCAGTCCCGTATGCAGATTAAACTTTTTCGAAGGCGACTGAGTGGAGTAATTCCTCAGCCTCGTCGTCGTAGTAATTAGCCAATAGGAATAGCTTTTCTACCATACGTGTGTGGTGTCCCATGTCCCGTGCCCCGCACAGGGGTGCGTATATGTGTGCGAGTGTGTGCCATCCCTCGCGTGGATATGTGTGGCATGAGAGCTGCCTATCCTTTCCCACACAGCGACAGTGCTGTGTGCTTGTACTTTAGACCTGTTTCTTCATAGGAGCTAATGCTCAGTATTTCCCCTTCCCCATCCCCCATCCCCCATCCCCCAGAAATGTTAAAGGTTGCATCTTTTGATAATCTACTCACCTGCAGATGCGATCGGTTTGCAGACGGAATCGCGATGCAATGCGAATGCTAACAAACTGAATCTGTGGAGGAGATTAAAATAAGTTCAAAAGGTCATCAAAAGGATGCACCGCTTCTTTCTGTGCAGTGCAGTGACTCCTAGCTCAATCCTATATAATCCTCAGTATTTAATCGATAATACATTACAGATGGATAAAGATCCCTAAAGGCTTAACTAAAAATTTGCGTAATTTACAGGACCACGGTTTTCTACAGGATTCTACAGGACTATAGTGGGACTGGCAGATGTAATACAATTATAGAAATTCATGTAAACTGATTATTAAATTGATAAATAAAGGGATATTTCTCCTCTGAATGCCTACATGACAAAACTCTGTACTTTTATGCGTTTCCCGGGCTGTACGGGAAGGGTGGGCAAAATCTCACAAGGAGTGAGCTAGCGGTAAGGACAAAGTTACTCTTTTAGTACATTCCAGATTCAGATACTCATCACTGACTGCTAAGCTACTCTGTAAGAGGTAGACGAATAATGATCTTCATTCTGTCTATAATAGTAAATCGATCCGCAATCAGATTTTTGCATCTGGTGGATGGGCCTTTGAGTGTTTTACTCACTTGCAGGATCTGCGTGGGTCCTCGTGGCAAAAAGGAGCGAGGCGAATGCTTCAATCAGAGTGTGGAATCTGGTAACTGGATCTTGAAACAGGAATCTGAAAAGATTGAAAAACGAAAGACGTTAAAAGGATGTTAAAAGCCTCAAAATTATGCTAATTTAATGGAAATCAGGAAAAGATACGAGTAATAATATTCCTCATAGGAGCAGTACTGCATATGTATATGCAGGATAAACAGGATGAGAGCTTGCGCCTATGACTGTATGTATGTGTGTGTGTGCCCTCTGGCTCTGGCTCTGCCACCCCAACCCCAACCCCAACCCTCTGCTCTCTTGTGGCATTTGTATTGGTAAGTCGCTATCCAATTATTAATTATGTGCCCCGCACCGAAAAAAGTTGTGCACACATCATCTACTACATACGCATATGTATAGTATATGTATATGTATTGTTGTGTGTGTGTGTGCCACCTAAAGAGCTATGCTTCAAGTGTCAGAGCGGCAGCTCCACCTACTTTTTGTTGCCTTTGTTTTTTGGGTGGCTCCTCGTATTTCTTTTTATTTTTCGGTTAATATATTACGCACATGCGGTGAAGGGGAATGGTACAGGGATGTACACCCTTACACACACACATGGAAAGCGAACGAAAAATATTAACCAAACAGAGAGAGAGAGAGAGAGCAGAGCAGAGCCCCAATCAACCTCCCATCCTCACCCCCCCCCCCCGGCAGAGCTCTCAAGCGGAGCGCAGCAGTTAAAAATATTTAAAAAAATTTCAAGTGAGAGGAAGTGGGGGCCCCCGCAAAGGGGTCGTGCGGGGGGGTTCGGTAGTGGGTGGTATCCAAAAAGCATGCGTGTGACAGCATTTGGTAAAGGTGGGTGGCTGGGAGGTGGTGTTTTTTTTTTTGCGAGGGGGTAGGTGGTGGTTTTTGGTTAATTGCCAAAAACAACTACAAAAGAAACAGAGCAAATACATGAGTAGGGAATGTGGCAATGCCGACTGGGTAATACCCTAAAAAAGGGCTCTCCCAAGGGGGTTCGTCCCGCGATCAGGGATGTTCATGAGTATTATTCGTATAATGCAGATACAAATCTATATGTTTGTAGCGCACTGTGTGGGCCTCATGCCCAGCATTCTATTGAAGAGCATTGCAGAAGAAAGTTTGGGGCCACCACAAAGTCCCCCACCCACCCACTAAGTGAGGGAGGGCGAAAAAGTTGCGTTTCGCTTTTTTCGGTGGAGCTTATGTAACTCTGTCTCTTTCTGTCTCTCTCTCTCTGTTTGCCTCCCACTCCCACATATGAATATGTAACCATATAGAAGGAACATTGTCGAACATTGCCTACGCTTCTTAGTGAGTCTGTGTGTGTGTGTGTGTGTGTATGTGACAGGCAAAGGGGGCTCATCTCTGTCTCCCTCTCTCTCTCTCTGTGTGTGTGTGTGTGTGTGCTGCTCCCCTTTTTATTATTTCGCGTGACGCAGAGCCCAAAAGCCCAAAAAAGGTACATAAATTGCAAATGTATTTGTGAAAAAGTGCGTCGTGATGCGTGCAAGTTGGCCCTGCCCCACCCCCTCCCCACACCCACCCACTTACCCAACCACACACCCATCCACCCACACTTCTGTCAGTCAGCTGCTGGCTGCTGGCTGCTGACTGCTGCTGGTGGCAGCGAAGTTTTCCTTTTTTTAATTTGTGCAGAGGCCCCCTCGCTTCGTATTCGTTTTGCCAAAATAATTTTACATTTCTTTGGCTGCTCTTTCGATGAGAATGACGAGTCCTTTGGGTACTTTGGGCCCTTTGAACGATAGAGGGAAATCGAATGCACTGCAATGACGTCCCCAATCATCACTCCATTCTAAAAATGACAAATGTACATATATCTACTACAAATGAAGGAATCTGTGGGAAGATCTATCTCCTCTCCTATCCTCTTGGTTTCTATTTTCTTTCTTTACAAACAGATATTTCGCGATCGCCTCCTTCTTCACTGCTCGTTCAGTATTCTCGTTTCCTTGATGATCGTTTTTTGCGAGTTTTTTCTGGAAGTCCCTATCCTCATTGGCAGGGATAATGGATCCGCATTGATTGGGCTAATGGATCCTCATTAATGGGGGAGGTAAGATGGGATATAAGTGCGGAGTAGTGCATTCGGTGGTGCGACTCTTTCGTCTCGTTCCTTGGCCTACAGTCTTCTTCGAATGCCTGCTGCTGCTTTGACTCTGCTTTGGCTGTGTTTGTTTTAACTTGTTGTGGGGCACTCCTATCCCTGCCCTACCCTACCCTTGTGCCCCCCTTTTCTTACGAAATTCTCATACACTTCATCCTCCAAAGGGGGGAGGCACACGCATCATCATCCTCTTTCCCGCTACCTCTCCCCGAAAGCACTTTCTTTTTCGGCAAAAGTTTTTCGCTTTTTCTGCTGGCATGTGCGTGGCTCCCCCTTCCCAAACCTATACCCCCATCTCAGTCACCCCCTATTCCGCGCTAGTCTGTTAGTGACAGTCACTGCAGTCAGTCGTCGTCGTCGTCGTACTCCTCCTTCTGCGTCATGAAAGAGGGACAGAGTGGGGAAGAGGCATGGGAGGCAGCAGCCAATTTAATTTTTCATATGTATAGAGTGGGTGGGAAGGAGAGGGGAGAGGTGGCAGAGAGCAGGGGTTGAGGAAGGGGCAGAGGCAGGAGACCAGAAAACCAAAAACGGGGAACAAGTTTTTCTAATTCGCATTTGTATTTCATTTATTGAAGCTGTCTCTCTCTGGCGCTCTTCAGCTCTGGATCTCTCTTGCTCACTTACTTTCCTACCCCTCCCCCGCCCCCCCACCTCAAGCATTCTGCAGCATCTACTATATTCAACCATGCCCCACACATGCCCCCCTCTGGAGTTCACGGTTCGCCCTTTTTTTAATGGGGTGCTTTATGACAAACTTTAAGCGCGAGCGACTCTAAACATTAAAATTTGTACATGTCCCTTCCCTCCCCTTTCCCCACCACACTTTGTGTGTGTGTGTGTGTTTGGGCAGAAACAGTGGGGTACAAAGAGACGTCGGGGGGTGGTCTGGAGGCGGGGGGGATGCGCGCACTTTCTAACACCGCCCACTAATGCCAACTGTGTGTCTAACTGGTGGAGCGCACTGGTGGAAAGACTCTTCTACTTTTCTCTCTGTCGCGCGTGCATCGGCGAGTGCGTGTGCGTGTGTGTGTGTGTGTGTGCGCATATGTAAACTCAAAAACCCCAAACCCTCCCCCTGGACTCCCCCTTTCCCCTCACGCAACAACATGCGTGCGCGTGTCTGCGGAGTAATTTTTTAACTAATTTTCTATACAAATTTTTAGCATGTCGTTTGGGGCACACGCACACTTTTTAACATTCTTTTTTGCATACGTGAATATATATAGTATGTGGAATATATGGTATATGGCATAAGGACATGTGTGCGTGTGTGTGTGTGTGTGTCTGAGTGTGTGTGTCGCTTGCTCATTCGTTCATTCATTTGCGAGGCTTTGCGCAGCAGTCTCTACTCCTCCGCAAGTGCTGCTTGTACATGAGCCTATTCCTTGCGATGGGGAAGAGGAGGGGGATGGGAAGGGGTTTTTGAATGGCAAGGAAGTACAATATTATTTGTGCATATGAGTGTGTGGATGTTACGCGCAGCAATACTCCTGCAATACGGATTCAGATTCAGATTGAGGAGCGACGTGATGTCCTTGGAATCCGCCCGCAGGAATGGCTGCACGAACTGATGCTGCGCTCACGTGGCATATAAGTAGGAGTTCCACTGAATGCAACGTGTGCTTATGGTGCATGCCAGTGGGTAGATATTAGCCCACACACACCCACTCTCTGGTATCCTGATACTTTCTTGGAGTCCGCTGAGCAGGGGAGGATCAAACGAATCAGTGGAGGAGACAACGGAGGAGGAAACACCAACTGTTTTTGCCGGTGCCCCTGGCTAGTGGGTTGTGTGTCCTTTCTGTCCAATCCGTAGCTAATTAACGGGCATTAAAAGTCCGCAATCCATAATGGTCATCGTTAATGACTCCTTTGAGGCAGGTCTCTCCCCCATGAGTATATACTCGTATATAGGTCCCACTTTTCAGTTGAAAAAAGGCTTGCGGATCATATATTCATGTAATCCTTAACCTTCGAATTTGCCACCACATTAATAGACTGACATTCAAACGATTTGCATTCCAGTTTTCGAGGAAAGGCGGAGGATAGACGAGGACAAAGGTCGAATGAGAGTTGGAACAGAGCACGATTTGGCCTCACAGCACCTTCAAAAGATATTGAGCCCATCTCTTCATAGAATATCTTATGGAGAGACTCAAAACCGTCCTTGTGCTTCCGCAGAGCAAGCTTCCCTTAACAATTGAGAGTACCTTCATTCTAGAGCACTTTCTAGGGTTGAGGAGAGCGAAAGATACCCTCAAAAGTATGATTCTGGTCATAGCTTTTAGAAAAATAACGAATTTATTTGTATGAAATTACGTTTCAAAACCCCCCTTTTTAAGACATAAACGTCCCAAATTGGTGTGCATAAATTTGTATTTTATTTTGTATTGAAGCTGATGGATAATACCCCAAATAGTAAAAATAGATATATATTTATTTTTTTCACTCTCAAATGTTTATATTTTTTAATTTTGATGTTTTTTTAGGGTAAAAAAAATATCATTAAATAAGCATTATTTTGGGTTTCATTAAAATTGCTTCATTCCTTATCCTTACATGCTTTATA